AGTACCAAGTCTGTCTAATGGGGAACACACACACACACACCCGCCTCTTTCAATACAAACTGAACAAAAATAAATAATAAATAAAACAATAAAAGAGTAAAACTTAAAAGAGTCCGAAAGATATCTTCTGCCTCTCTCTCTCACACACTTGTCACAAAACCTATAATTAAGGCTCTTGCACACCTATGTTCCTTTCCCTTGCTCCATAAGTGTAGGACTTCAAATCCCTCTCCATAATAATTATGTCCTCTCTCCACATCCTTTTTTTTTTCTTCCCTAAAAGTATCACCAATCCCTTCTAGAGTGGACTCTAATTTCTCCAATCTTTTAGGGTTCAATGTGATCCCCATCTAAAAGAAATAAAATGTCAAGAGAAGGAAAACCCCCACACATCTCCTTTTCCCTTTTTCCTGAACGCATGCACCCATATTCCCATCAAAATAGGACCCACAAGATCCCCACATGATCTACTTCCAACTAAAACCAAGAAAACTAATTAACCAACTAAATCTTAAAGAAAATCATCCTAAGCCTAACAATTATAAGAAAGACGACCTTGCCCCATGACAATAAATTAACACCCAATAACATCCCTTCACTACAAATCCAAAAAGTAAACCTTAACAAAGAAATAAATAAGTCCAAACTTAGAAATTTTAACCAAAAAAGATTTCAGCTTAATTTCTGGACACCTCGGATGCAATTTGCATTAGTTGCACAAAGAAATACAATCAAAATCTCAAAATATAAAATTTATATCACGAGTACCAATTGCAAGAATTTCGGTTAAGCAAAACCAAAAGAGCATAAAAAGATCCATAAATATTACATACAAAACTTTCCTTGTTAAATAAATCAAGCCAACTCTTTGTATAATAAGACATCCAATTATTTGGTTGGCATAGAGGCCCAACGTGAGAGAGGATTTGCAATCAAATAGCTAGAACCAATAAATGAAGCTTTGTCGGATAAGTGGACTGCCCAATAACCAATTTCGTCTTGAGGTAAGGAATAACCAATTACACCAAAAGATGCAGTCAATACAGCCAGAACCACACCCGTAACCCAAGTGACTTCGCGAGGTTTCTTAAATCGGCCTGTGAGATAAACATTCGAGATTTGGTTAGATGGGTAGCCTAGTATTTGTGGATTAACTAATGAAGCGAAGGAATAATTTACTTATGTCGCGGCTTAGCACTATTCTCGAATTCTCAATACTGACAAATGTCTAGTGGTAGGGAAGACTACTGATTGAGAGTAAGTCAGGCAAGTGTTTGCAGATCTATCTATCTATCTATCTNTAATATTATATATATAATNTAATATATTATAT